CCTCACTTTGGGAAAAGGGTACCGTTTGTTCTTCAAAATTAGTTATAAAGCTGACGTCCCGCTCCCTGCATCAAGGAATGGTAGTTTTTGTGTAAGTTTGCAAAATTCTCTAGTTCACCTCTTATCTCAAGATAACTACTTGAACTACTGAACTGCTAACTACACCAACAGTGTTTTAAAGCATGGGCATGTAGTGAAACCCGACAGACTCAACTTTTAAATGCAAAGCAGCAGGAAAGGAGATGGGGGCTGTCATCTTAACTGTGGGTCTCTTGCCAGGCAAGCCTGCCAGCTACAAAGGAGAGAAGAAAAGGCAAATACTTTAGCCCTGAGATCACCACTGTCAACCAATTTTTGATTGAGGTAATTTTTAAAAGACAAGAGAAACAGAAAACAGAAACTATGATTCTTTCAGTAAGAAACTATTTAATAACCCATTGAGTTCTGTATGGAATTTAAAGTAATGGATAAAGAGCAAGCAAAGGGACTAGTGTTATAATTTCCATTACCCAGTGCTTTGGCAAAATATCTAGCCACCCCAAGCGCTGGCACTTCCGGGTTCCAGGGCCACGCATGAAACATCAAGGATTCAGGCAACTTGGAAACCCCACCCAGGGCCCTCAAGCCCAACATGTTCTATGGCCTGCGTGGTCACGTGATCTATGCCTGATGTAGCCATGTAAGCCCCTGTGCACAGCCTTTAAAAGCTAGACATGCACACTTCACGCTCTCTTCCCGTACCAACGTCTCCAGGCCTGCGCAGGTGCCTTTTTCTCTCTCTCTCTCAATAAACTCTTAGAGTGGGTTTCGTTGTGTGTCTCGTGGTGATCCGTTCTCACTCGCTTATAATTTCAACTAGAGCGCTGGCTCGGTGGTTTAGAAATTTGCCGCTCTTGTAGAGGACCCAGGTCTGATTCCCAGAACCCGTGTGGCAGCTAACAACCACCTGAACTCCAGTTCCAGGGGAATCCGATGCCTTCTTCCGACTCCGTAGGTACCACGCATGCTTGTAGTGCCCATATATACACACATAAAATAAACCTTTAAAAACGTTTTTAAAAGATTAAAGCAGAAAGATTAGTAGATGAGAAAAGCTGTTCCAAAGAAAAACTATAGATTACAGAAAAGGAAAAAAATTGTAGCTTACAAAGCAAAGGTAAGGTGTAAAAGTCAAGGGAATAGTCACACTCGAGAAAATGTTTGCACAACTCTTAGGGCGAGTAAATCCTCATCAAATCATCACAAAACATTACCAGATTCTTTCAATAGTAGAAGATTCTCCAAGAGCTGTCCCGTTAAGTGGCACACTCTGTCTCCCAGCCACGCCTCACCCGGTTCACCGTCTGATAACAGTGAGGTACTACAGGCTAAAGCGTGGTTTTCTCCACCAGTAACTTGAAGGGTGGTGTGACAGAGCCTTCATTCCCAAAGCTAACCTCCGAGTCCAGAGGGCACAGGTTTTCTCTCTGTCAGAGACGACTAATCTTATGTCAGTGTGGCACATTAGCATTATCTGAAGGGAGGAAACCTCAATTGAGAAAAATGCCTCCATAGGCATTTTCGCTTCTGTGATTGATGCGGGAGGGCCCAGTCTAATATGAGTGAGATTTGGGCTGGTGGTCCTGGGTTCTATAAGAAAGCAGACTGAGCAAGCCATGATGAGCAAGCTAGTAAGCAGCACCCCTCAGTTGCCTCTGCATCAGCTCCTGCCTCCTGGATCCTGCCTTACTTTCTGTGGTGATGAACAGTGATGTGGAAGTGTAAGCTAATCCCTTTCCTTGGCTGCTTGCTTCAGCCATTGTGTTTCATCATAGCGATAGTAGCCCTGACTGCCAGGCGATGGTGGCGCACGCCTTTAATCCAAACACTCGGGAGGCAGAGGCAGGTGGATCTCTGTGAGTTCGAGACCAGCCTGGTCTACAGAGCTAGTGCCAGGACAGGCTCCAAAGCCACAGAGAAACCCTGTCTCGAAAAACCAAAAAAAAAAATAAATAAATAGTAGCCCTGACTATGTCAGCTGCTTCAGTTGTTTGGATGATTTATGGTTTCTCTGTGGCACCTCCCTGGACTCAACCTTCACCTTTCTGGGGGTTACCCTGAGAGCCATACAAAGATTCAGAGGGACAGCATTCATGTCGGGCTATGCTGGGAAAGGGTTACTGTCGGGCTTTTGTATCTGATACCCATTTTATAACTCAGGGATTGTGCGGTGCTTTCTTTAGAAACTCCAAGACCATTTCATGTTTTCTCCAAGAACGTAATAAAAATATACTTTTAAAATATGGAAACCAAGAGAAAATTTTATCTCCATATTTTTTTTCTTTAAAAAGAAACTCAAAGTCAAGTGACTGAGGAAGTAAATAGTTTAGTCAGTGCAGGGCTTTGCAGCTTATGGTACTCCTGAGTTCAATGCCCAGCACAGATATAAAAAATCTGAACACAGTGGCCCACCCTTGTCATCCAAGAACTGTGTGTACAGAGACAGGAGGGTCCCTGGTGCTCACTGGATGGCCAGTCTAATCAAATAGTGAGCTCCAGGCTTCAGTGAGAGACTACATCTCATAAAAGCAAGGCAGGAAGCCAGGCAAGGTGGTGCACACTTTTAATCCCAGCACTTGATAGGCAGGGGCAAGGGGAACTCTATGAGTTCAAGGCCTGCCTGGTCTATATAACAAGTTCTAGGCCAGCCAAGTTACACAATGAGTCCCGGTCTCAAAACAAAAAACAAATAAATAAAAACCAAAACAAACAAAATATTAAGCTGGGGCCAGAGAGATAGCTCAGTAGTTAAAAGCACCAATTGCTCTTGCCGAGGACCCTGGGTTGATCCCCAGCACCCACATAACAGCTAACAACCATGTGCAGGTCCAGTTCCAGGGAGTTCTGATGCCTTCATCTGGTCTCCCAAGGCCCCAGGCATGCACACAATACACAGATGTACATTCAGATGCAACACCCATAGACTCAAAACAATATATTTCTAACATATATTTACATATATGGCAGACAGTTTCTGAGGAATGGCACTTGCAGTTTATCCTTGGCTTCCACATGCCCAAGCACATACCTGAATGCACACATAAATACCATGCACATATACACAAATGTATGTTCATATACCTGCATACACACATACTCACACACATACAAGAAAAGAAAGAAAGCTCAGTCCCAGTTTGTCTGTTTTCCTAAAGCTAAACTCTCTTTAAGCAAGTACTCAAGCCTACAGGCTAGGGAGGAGGTCAAGAGGTCATAGCAGAATTCTTCCAGAGAGAATGGTAACAATCTTGACTAACCAGAGGACAGAAGCCCAGGAGCTGGGGGCAGGTGCCCTACAAAAGAATTCTAGCTGCAAAAGAATGCCTCCCTCCTGTCAGTGCTTTAAAAGCTGTATTTCTTCGATTGCAGTTGGTCTTTGTAATATTGGAGCTACAGACAGGACAGACATCAAGAAGGGAAGATGGGAGGAAGGGGAGATGAAGGCCATTAGGAAAAAGATGATGCATTCTTTTTTTAAAATTTTCTGTTACATTTATTTATGTTTTACTTATGGGTTTGGTGTGTGCATGCTTCACAGAGAAGTCAGAGGACAACAAGCAGGGATGGGTGCTCTCATTCCAACAGGTTGGTCTCAAGGATCCCAGGGAGCTGGGCTTATAGCTGCTGAGCCACTTCGTGGATGCCAGCTGGATCTTCGACTCTTCTCTGGGCTTTGTCTTTTGGTAAGGTCCTGTTTTCTCCATTTCACTCTGTAAGAAAGATGCAGGACCTGAGTTTTCTCCCTGAGAGCTCATCCACAGACTTTCCGATAACCTCAGAACTCTGAGGAAATACCCAATTCCGGTTTACTTCTTGGCACTTTTAAATAATTAATTTCACATCTTGTCTAAACAGCAGAAGGCAATGTGTCACTGAAAAACACACGCTCTGGTCCCCATCTCAGCTCTGCCACTTACCCTGCACGACTTCTAACTTCTCGGGTTCCTTGTCTGTAAAATAATGAGAATGTACCTGACCTCCTGAGGGTGAGGGTAAAGGGTCCCAAGGCTGCCATGCAGGAACATGCTCAACATAGCCCTGCGAACACTAACGTGGGATTCAAGAGACAGCTTTCGGCCCTCAGATATTCCAAAGTGCCTGGTAATTAACATTTTTTGAATGCTTTCTGCCTTAGTTAGGGCTTCTATTACTGCAAGGAAACAGCATGACCAAAAGCAAGTTGAGGAGGAAAGGGTTTATTCGACTAACACTTCCACAATGCAGTCCATCACTGAAGGAAGTCAGGACAGGAACTCAAACAGGGCAGGATCCTGGAAGCAGGAGATGATGCAGAGGCCATGGAGGGGAGCTGCTTACTGGCTTGCTCCATGACTTGCTCAGGCTGCTTTCTTATAGATCCCAAGACTATCAACCCAAGGATGGGACCATCCACCCCGGGGCTGGATCCTCCTCTCTTGATATCTAAATGAGAAAATGCCTTACAGCAGGATCTTGGGGAGCATTTCCTCAGCTGAGGCTCCTTCCTCCCTGGTAATTCTAGCTTGCGTCAAGTTGACACACAAACCAGCCAGTGCGCTTTCTTCTGGTTATCTTATGGGTCTGAGCTTATAAACATTTTGTTCTCAAATCTTACAAAGAGTTGTGATACAAGAAACTGAAATCTGAGCTACATATTTGAGTGTTTTACCCCAAAAAACTCAAATGGGGAAGTCCTAATCCCCTGTGTGGTGGTCATCAAACTTGGAGCCTGTAGGAGATTTGAAGTTTAAATGAAGGCATACCGACGCTCTGGGGGATGGGATTAGTGCCCTGCAAAAACAGGGAGAGAGATTCTCCTGGGGAGTTTCATATTCTCCACCCCAACGAAACAAGAAGGCAGTTGTTACCGGTACCGGAGGGAGTGCACTATTAGGTGTGGCTTTGCTGGAGGAAGTTTGTCACTGTGTTAGCTGGCTTTGAGGTTTCCTGTACTCAGGATACCACCCCAGTGTTTCAGCCAACCTCCTGTTGACTGCAAGTTGTAGGACTCTCAGCTACTGTCTGCCCGCATGCAGCCATGCACCCGCCACGATGATAGTGGACTTAACCTCCGAAAACCGTAAGTGAGACACACCAATGAAACGCTTTTCCTTTAAAAGAGTTGCTGGGGTCATGGTGTCTCTTCACAGCAATAGAAACAGCAGCCATATGCAGATTAGCTAAGGTGCCTCTCACTAGGAGCACCTCCATCTTGAGCCTTCCAGAATCTGGCACTATGAGAACTACCTCCCCCTTGTTTCAGCCATCCAGCGGATGGTGCTTTGTCTCAATAGCCTCAGTTGGCAGGCACTTAGCAAGGCTAACAAGAGTTGCCCGAATTCACCCAGCTAGTAAGAGGTTGTACCAGAACTTGAGGAAGTGTTTGATGCCAGCATGTAGATAGATCGGCACTCTCACCAAATTTGGAAGCAATTTAAATCTCTCCAGGTAAAACTTTCATCTAAGCCAGCCCAAATTCAGTTTCTATATTTTGCATTCTGTTATTTGTACCTCATTTCTATATCTTTTACCTGGACAAAAACTATATGAAGGCGTTTTAAGTGCCTCCTCCCGTCTGACGTTCTGTGGATTAAGTTTAGGGCTTCACACTAGGTAAGCTGTCTACCAAGCTGATATATTACCAGCCTGGAAGTGCAAAGAACTGAGACAGGCGCGAGCTTATGGACGCAGGGCTTGCAGGAACCCAAAACAAATAAAACAAAAACAGAAACGAAAACGGTGTACCGTGCCTTCCAAGCAGTAACATTTAGTATTAGTCTCTTTATCATTACAGCTTCGGGGCCAACTCAGATTAGTCTTGAGGGCATCTTCTAGCAGTGTTTTCAGCACAGGGTATATAACTTCATGTAGCACAAGGCTAGTGCATTGCTTATGGGCCGTCCATCAATTTCCTGCGGGCATCCCTGTGACTTTAGAGCAGAGCTTGCGAGGTGCTTGGCAAAGCTTCCACAACGTTCAGCGCAGCCTCACTCTTTCTTTAGCCCCCACCCCTTGCAATCTTCACGCCAGACCACAATTTACAATAGGCAGGTCTGGGCCTCAACCTCAGCTCTTAAAATGTATTCCAAATGTTGCAGAACTACTTTGCTCCGTATTCTAGTCCACCTTAAAACCACACAGGAGACCCAGAGAAGAGGAGTGGCGTAGCCACAGTTTAGGAAGTTCGCGTTCACTCACATTCCTGGCCTGAAGCCGAGTATGGCGATCCATGCCTGTCATACCAGGGCTTGGGGGGGCAGAGGGTGGAGGATCAGGAGTTAAAGGCCAGGCTTGCCTCCGTTAAGAATTCCAGGCCAGCCTGGGCTTCGTGAGACCATGTTTAAGTAAGTAAATTAACCCCAAAGATGACCTCATTATTCTGGCTCTATTGCCAGAGCAGTTCTCCTGTTTGTTTGCTAGTGTTTGTCAGTCAAAAAGATTGTAGATTACACAGAAATGCTGCATGAATTCAGGGTCCCTTCTTAAACACCAGGGATACTGAGTAGCTTGAGATGGGGGTAGATGTGGAGGTACCCAAGTCCCTGTCCCCTCCTCTCTGAGCTAGGGTGGCACATACAGAAAAAGCAAGTCACGCAAACGAGCGTGGGTCAAAGCCCTAGGTTTCTTTCTGTAGCAATCTGTCTCCTATTCATCTCAGTCTACTGAAAGACAAACCAAGCCGATTCCTTTGCAAAGCCTTTAGCTCCATCTCTGGTGTTTTAAAGCAGGTGTAATCCTCTTTCTCTGCTGTTTTGATGCTGTTGACATTATTGTTGAGGCTGGCTTTCAGAAAATTCCTAAATTGTTCATTTTCTCATTCTCTGGCAAGCTGAGCCTTTCCTGTAGATTCCCCCAAACGATTTTCCTAACAAAAATCTTTCTGTGCTGTTGCTGTTAAATAAAGCTTTGAAGACACTAGTCTTCCCTGTCAGCCCCAAACTACTTGAAGAAATTGGAAAACCTACCCCCCAAAAAATCTTCAAAATATTCACAAAATGAAACTATCATTTTAATACCTACCTTGATGATTAAAAAGTTGACTGGGGTGGCAGGGTTTTGTTTTCATTTCAGTTCTTGTGACAGATTTTGATATGTTGTCCAATTGATCTCAGACTCTTGATTCTCCTGCCTCAGCATCCCATGTGCTGGAATTACAGGCTTGTGTCACCACTCTGGGAAAAAAAAATCTTTTTATTTTTGCTTTGTTATTTTTATTTTTTAGGACATTTTCCTCTAGGCTAGAGTAGCTTACAAAACACAGAGAACGACTGTAGCCATCAAGAGATCAGTTATAAATACCTGGCTTTATCCAGTCGGTGACTATTGGAAGCATGCCTATTGCTAAGAAGGGTAGAGATAAAAACATCATTTGCCAGGGTTGCAACCAAATTTGAGGTGCTATGGACAAATGAATCATCTATGCTCACAAACGTGGTGGTGGGTTCGATGTAGGCAGGATGATCTAGACAAGGGAAGAGGTGGAGCAGGTATTTTGGAGATCTGTGGAGTACAGCCTTCATGTTTGGCTGAGGGAATGAATGGCAGAGTGATGTCGAGGTTGGTTTTTTAGACAACTGGCAGATAGGGTTGGTAAGAAGATAACTGTCTTGTTTCATTTCTGTTGCTGTGATAAAATATACTCTGGTAAGGGCGGCATCAGGGAGAAAAGCTTTTATTTTGGCGATAGTTCCAAGTCAAGGTCCATCATGGCGGTGAAGTCAGAGCATCAGGGGCTGAAACAGCTGGCTCGTTATGTGGACGGTCAAGAACAGACCAGTGAATGTCATGGGATTTCCCTCTGTATGCTGTGATTACTGTGAATGAATAAAGAAACTGCTTTGAACCTATAGCAGGGCAGAACTTAGGTAGGTGAGGAAAACTAAACTGAATGCTGGGAGAAAGAAGAGCAGAGTCAGAGAGAAGCCATGGAGCCCCTGCTGGAGATCGACCCCAGAACTTTAGCTGGTAGGCCACAGCCACATGGTGATATACAGATTAATAAAAATGGGTTAAATTAATATGTAAGAGTCAGCCAATAAGAAGTTAGAGCTAATAGGCCAAGCAGTGATTTCATTAATACAGTTTCTGTGTGATTATTTTGGGACTAAGCAGCCAGGAACCAACAAGCGCCCTTCAACAGGTGAAGGCACGGCTGGTGCTCAGTGCTCTTTCTTCATTGGCACAGCCCAGGTCCTGCCCATGATCAATATGGGTGTGCACACATCCACTAACTAAAAAGATGACTTCCGCAGTGCCTGGATAAACACGGAGAGATCTGGCGCTTAATAAAAGGAATCACACACTAGCTCAGAACTAAGAAATATACGGGTATTTATTAATAGATAAAACTTACACATCAGGGTTCTCTGCGTGAACGATGGATAAAGATGAGATCCAAACAAACCGAACCAGCAAAACCAGGGTCCAGGGGGAAAGGCAGAGAGGAAGAGGGCCGGATGCGCTTCTGCATCCAGGTAAATAGTCTACGAGGCCATACCCCAGTAGGCGGGAAGTTGTTAGCTATACACCTTCCCGCAGCACCTGGAAGCTGATCACTCTGGTGATTCTAAATTCTGTTGAGCTCATAGTTGAAGTTAACCACTCAGGCTCCAAATCAAAAGAAACCACCTGATTATAAATACTCTATTCCCAAGGCACAATGGAGAATACTATAGCCTGGGCTGGAGGGGTAGGTGTGAATTTCAACCTAGCCTTTTTCCTTAGAAAGATACCCTGATTACTTTGGTACAAATGATTTCCCACTTTCTTATTCCTCTCCATTGTACACTCTGTGTGTGTGTGTGTGTGTGTGTGTGTGTGTGTGTGTGTTCCTGTCCCCATGTGTTGCAAACCTTAATTCTCCTTTTTATTTCCTGATTTTTCTTACTTAGAGTTGTATACCAGCATTGAACACCGGCTAGGTTCAGCAAGGATTTGTTAAGAGAGAGGAAAATGAATAAACAGAGTAGAGGAATGTGGTCAGATCAGCTGAGGAACTGTCCAGGAACTACAGCGTGATGGGGCTCTGAGACTGAACAGATTGTAGATCATGGGACAGGCCTCCAAATGTTGGTTGTTAATGGAAAGATCCAGTGAAGATAGCAGGGAGTCTTTCCTTTTCGGCAGATTTGGAAAATACTCTAGCCTCCTTGCTTCCGTGAGCCCCCCAACCTCTGCCTCTCCTGGCTTCCCTGGTCCTGGAGGAGTGTTACCAGTGTCATCAGGGACAAAAAGTCTTGACTCTGCCTCTGGTCATAATGTCCTCAGATTCTGCCCACTGCCCTGCCTCTAACAGGTTTGCATAGAGAATTAAGCTTCCCTGTTTTGAAAATTTTCTTTTATCTATTTTTTTATTCTTTGGTTTTTTTAGACAAGGTTTCTCTGTGTAACAGTCTTGGTTGTCATGGAACCTGCTTTGTAAACCAGGCTTGCCTCAAACTCACAGAGATCTTGCCTGCCTCTGCCTCCCAAGTGCTGGGATTAAAGGTATGAACCACTACCACCTGGTGATTTATTTTCATGAAGACAATTTTGTTTATGTGTCTTAGCTAACTTTCTATTGCTGTGACAAACCACCTTGACCAAAGAAAGTATCTTATATAAGAAAGTCGTTAATTTGGGGATTGCAATTCTAGAGGGTTTGAGTCCTTAACCAGCAAGCCAGAGAGCTCAGCTGAGAACTTCTATTTGAGCTACAGGAGCAGAGAGAGCTAACTGGAAATGACTTCTGAGCTTCAAAGCCTGTGCACCTCCTCCAACAAGGCTACACCTTCTGCTTCTCTTATGGTGGTTTGAATGAGAAAGACTCCACAGGCTCTTACGGAGTGGCACTATTAGGGATGTGGCCTTGTTGGAGGAAGTGTGTCACTGGATGTGGGATTGAGGTTTCAGATGATAAAGCCAGGCCCAGTGTCTCACTCTCTCTTCCTGTTGCCTGAAGATCCAGATGTAGAACTCTCAGCTGCTTCTCTAGAACCATGTCTGCCTGCTTGCTGCCATGAAGATAATGAATTAAACTTCTGAATTTTCAGCCAACCCCAATTAAGTATTTTCCTTTATAAGAGATATTGAGGTCATGGT